TAGCTATTTAGTCTAAAAAATAGTGGTTTTAAATAAAAGTATTATTTCAAAACATTTAACCGAGTGCAGATAAGTCAATGAGAATGCTGTATAAAAAAAATCCTTGTAGAATTGGCTCCTAGAGTTGTGAAAAATTAATTTACACCAACACAAGATGGAGGAGTGGGGAAAAACCAGAAAGGAAAGAAGAAATATAAATGGAGTAAAAGAAAAAAATGAAGCAAATTTCTCTGAGGTTGTTGAGGAAGTTTATTGTATGGTTATGCTGATTTCTTGTAATAGATTTGTGGAGGCACATAGCAGTATAATAAATAGGGGTGCACCACTAAAGATTATTTTTTTGACCAGTACCGATGGCTGATTCTTAGCCAGTCATATCGGCTGATACCAATCTGATTGCTGATATGCAGTCCTTCAGCTTGGAGAGCAGCATCCAGCTGGTAAGCCTGTTGGGGGAAGGGGCCTGGTGCAGGGTCCCCACGGTGAGTGGGGCTGGGGTAGGTGCTGCCTAGCTGGGGCAGGATGGAGCTACAGGCAGCTTGTCCGGGAGGTGTGGTGGGGAGGGAATAGGAAGAGTGGGTCGGCTCCCTGCTGCTGTGCGCACACAGAGGGAGGCATGGGGAGCATATGCCCCCCCCAGATTTGTAAGCAGGGTGAAGGCAGGCTGCCTGCTTCAGGGCCGGGGACTGTACTGGCCTCTTCCTGGGGGGTGCTGGACCGGGGCTGTGCTCAGAGTGGTGGTGCTGTGTGGGGTGGCCATAGCCACCCCACAATTCACCATAGCTCCTCCTCCCGGTGCCACTATCTGCCCTGCCCTGCCTGCCCCGAGCACAGCCCTGGCCCAGTCCCCCACCAGGAACAGGTCAGTGTAGACCCTGGCCCCGAGCCCTCGGTGGGCAGTCTGCCCTTGCCCTGCACGCAGGTGAGGGGGGAACATGCTCCCCCATGCCTCCCTGGGGGTGTATGCAGCTCTACCCCCTGCCAGCCCCATCCCCCGCACCTCCAGGACAAGCTGCCCATGGCTCCATCCTGTGCCCCACCCCAGCCCAGCTGGGCAGTACCTGCCCCTGCCCTACTCCCTCCCTCACCGTGTGGGCCTTGATCTGCCCCCCCTGCCCCCCACACCCTTGATCTGCCCCTTTCCTAACCCCCATTCCTCCCCAGACTTACTGGCAGGAGGCTGCTCTCCAATCTGCCAAACTGCATTCCATTCCTGGTCACGTCCATGCTGCGATTGTGCACATGCACCCAGCATTTATCGGTGACATGATAGCCGATCGCCGATGTCATTTTTCCTTTTATCGGTGCCGATACAATATGGATTGATGTATCTGTGCGCCTCTAATGATAAATATAAAATGAACTATGTAACCCCCTCAATTTAGAATTACTAGAACAAACTTAAAAATAACTACCAACAAGAAATAAGCAATTTCATAACTCTTATTCCCTATTCTAGTTAGCATTTTCATATGATTTCTGTCTTGTTCTCTAGGAGCTTAATAATATTTTAAAATTAGTTTCAAAGACTTTTCATGGATCACTATCCTTTCTACATTAGAGTACTTAGTGTATCAGTATTATCCATTTATAATTGTGGGTCAGACTTTAAAGAAGAAACTCAGTCAAATGTCAGACCCTAGCTCGGGTCTGAAATTTATCATTTCACTCCCTTGTGCTCATGAATTTCTAGCAGTTTTTTCCTTTTTAAGTTGCTTTTTTATGGTCTCTGCTTTTCTTTTGGGTAGCTTTTTCTTTAATCATTATGTTAGCATGAGATTTAATATGGAAGTTTCGAAGTTATAGTCAATTCTGTCCTCCTTTCCCACCATCCCCTTAATGAGCCGGTAATACAGGAGTGGGGAAAATGTGGTTCGCAGGGTGGATCCGGCCTGCAAGGCCATTCTATCCAGCCTGCAGGGCCCCTAAAAATTTTTGAAAATTAATATTGATCTGTCCTTGGTTCCTGTCCAAAATGACAGAAACCAGGGGCAGTAGGACCCAGGGGAAGCCTGGCGGGCTCCTGCAACAGCAGGGGCCCCCCTCAGCCCCCCCCGGAGCCGCAAGCCCCAATTTTCCAACTTTAGTTGGTCTAATAAAAGATATCACATTTACCCAAAGAATTTTGTTCAACTTACAAATGTGTACCCTTCCTAGGCTCTTTTTATTTGTTGCATTGTCAATGTTTGGTTTTCATTTGTATTATGACATTTCAGCTGCCTAGTCTTGCTTGTCTTGCCTATTTTCTTCTTCTTCCTCTTGCCATCTCCTCCCCACAGTTTTATCCTGCTTTTTTTCCCCCCTTTGCCTACTTTTTGCCTTACCATTGTAGTCCTGTCTTATCATTTCTAACTTACTAAGTTCTTGTAATATATGTAATCAAATACCAACAAGTTGGCATAAACTTATTACCCTAACTTTCTGCTCTCAAATTATATTACTATTCTTGCTTTTTTTCTTCTTTCAATATTTTGTCATTTTCTGTCTTAAGTGCTTCAGGACAAAGTGTGAGAATGCTATTGTAACATAAATGATGGGTGTGTTACCTACATAGTGGCTAAGTACTAAGGAAATAACTGGTAGTTTGATACCTTAACAAGAAAAAAAATCTTTGTAATCTCTATCCCTGAAAGATTAAGATGCACAAGAAAGTGTGGTAAATTATGTTTCATGGCATAGCAGCAGTTCAGGAATTTCCATACTGTAACCAGAGCTATCTTGTTTGATACACTGCTTTTTAGCAGTAGCTCTTATCTTGGTACTTGAAAAAGAGGTAGCATTGTGAGTACCACTCAACTGCATACAGCTTCAATATACAGGAAGGGAATATTATTTCTGTTTGGTTTTAAGTTGTATTTCTTTTAAATGCGAGTACTGAGATGCATGTAACCTAGATAAGGACTGAGGGACTTCAACCCCCTTTCTTCAGATGAGTGGTATGGATACACAATGCCTAAAATAGCAGAATTACCATGCAGACAAGCTATGAAGAGGCTGCAGTAAGACTGAATCAGCACCACTAGCACAAAAATGCTGTTTTCAGCAGCCTGGGAAATGTGTGTGTGGGTGGGGTGTGGTCCCTGTATATGGACAATATGATCTCATATAATTGAACAGTGGACTATTACTCTACCAGTGGGGTGGCAAGTTGTTGGTGCCCTGGAACCTGAGGAATGAAGGCCATTACTGCTTCCCCACCCCTTCCATTCCCTCTTCCTCTGCTCCAAATTTCAGTCACTGGCAGCAAAAAGACTCTGAATTTGGCAATGTGCAAAGGGGTGAAGGGGCAATGTTGGCGGTGTTCACCTCCTTGGTTCTGGATCCATATCGTCAAGCCCTGCAGGCTGTAATTTAACCGTTTGGAGGCCATAAGCAGCCTACAGCCATGGACTACAAGTAACTGTGCAACTGTTCTGTGCCCCAGTTCCAAGATGAAGTCAGAATGATTACCTCCCCAGTCCCTTGTGGAGGTTTCTCCATAGACTCCTTAAACTTGTGCTTTGCATTGGAAATAATAATTTGGGCATAAGTAGTACTTCAGTATTGCTCCTTTAATGATAAGGAACACTTCTGTTGCTGGAAGACTGTTTTTGTTCATTGTCCCTTACCAGAGCAAAATACATCTATTGCATCATCTGACCAGGTTCCAAGAATTGTTGGCATTGAGGCAAAGTGCCTTGGCAAATGTTTTCTTAAAATGGCAAAACAAAAAAGTGGAGATGATATTTGTAATTATGGACTAGAGCTCTTCAGGTTTCTACCTACAAATAAAAAGGATATGTGATTCTTGGGATGGGAGTAGTCATTCATATATAATACAAGGGCAGCTCTTCAGCTATCCTGATGTGACTATTGCATTTTCTAAAGCCCATTTCAAAACCATAAAACAGGACAAATAATTTGCAATTCATCTGGATTTTTGCCTTGTGGCCATGCTTTTGAATTTGTATTTGTCATAGATGGACCCTCCGTTATGATTGAAATGCTTTTAGATTTAACCTGCTTCTGATTCTGTACCTGAATTTAGGCCATTGAGCAATGGAGGCCTGAAGGCTTAGAGGACTGTTTTAATCCAGTGATAAGTGTTTATTGTGAATCTTATCCATCATATTTTCTCTTCACTTACATAATTGATCAAACATTGCTTTCACAGAGGAGAGGAGGATAGAGAGAAAAAAGAGGTTTGCTTTAAATCTTAGGCTTCATGAAGGACTCTTAAATACTTTTCTTATAAGCCAGATAGTAGTACGCTATGACCCTTAATATGAAGAACTCTATACAAAAAGTTTGGAGACTGAGAACCAAGACTTCTGTTGAAATCATTATGACTTCAGTAGGTTTTAGCATCTCTGAAAATTAGGATACTTTTCATTACATGCCTAAGTGCTTGTTTTACAAGACTGTATGTATGCAGATTAGAAAACTTGGCAGATTTCTCTCTGCGTATATTTCTCCAGCTGTAAAATAAAGGTAACATAGGCTCATCTTGTGAAGCACCCAGATACTTGAGACTTGGAGAGGTGAACCGCACTTTAAAATTTTAGAGTGTTACCGTAGATCCAACGTAGCTACTTTGTGGATCACTTCTAAGTGGAAGCTAAACTGCTATAATGTTAAATCTGTTCGATTCAGGTTTAAAGTTAAAGCAGCTTAGTTGTACAAAACTGATGTACGAGCAGCCAGATAACAATTATATTAGATGAACTGGTATGCACATGAGAAAGGTAAATCATTTCCCCTCCCTTTTTAAAAAGAGTCTCATGTTAATTGTATTTTAAGAGGTAATGCATTATTTTCAGAGAATAAATTCTTGTCTGGAATCATGTTAAAAGACTTGAATAGAGCATTGATCAGATAAAATATTGCAGCAGACCTGTGCCAATATCACAACAACTTTTATAATAATACAGTCATATTTATTTGGAGACTGGAAGGGATGTTTGCCTGTAGTTTGTTGTTATGGTACGGATTTCTTAAATGTACTGCACTCCTTCCTACAGGAGGTGCTGAAACAGCTACAGGGAAGCATTGAAGATGAGGCAATGGCTTCTTCTGGACAAATTGATTTACTGGAACGACTTAAAGGTAAATTTAGGAAAAAGATGCTCTTATCAGACTTTTCTTGCTAATTTTAGTTGCTTAGGGATAACATCTTCAAAAGTGCTAAGTCCCATTAACTTTGGCATCTAAGAAATTCTCGCTGACTTTCAGTGACACTTGATTCCTACCTACCCGAGGACAGAGACAGTGTAACAATTGTATTGCCATCAGAGGATACCAGTATAAGCTGTTAGGGTGCAACTGCCCTGTTTCATTCAGGGTCAAAATTAGGACAGTTAGCTCATTTGTATTGCTAAAGGATTATGCAAAACTAACAAGTAGACAACCATAGCTCATGATTAGGGACCTACCCACATTGAGATTGTGCAGATTTCATGGAAATCGTGAAATTGGGCAATCTCTGCAAAACTTGCGGGGGAAAAAATACTAAAAATAAAATAAAGGCTCTCCAGTGGGAGCCAGCAGTCCTCAAGGCCCGCAACCCTCCAAGGGGGGGAGGGAGGAGCTGCCTGCATGAAGGCGAGTAGGCAAGATGGCTGCCACCCCTGCCCCTCGCCTGTCATACAGCCCCATCCTTCTCCAATCATTGGTGAGGTGCAGGGCTCCATGTTGGACAGCCCCCTCTGCCAATCAGTCACAGAGGATCCCACCAGGGCTCCTTGGCCAATCAGAGGCATGGGAGAGCCACAGCCATGATAAGCCCTCAAAAATGGCAGCCAGGACCACAATCTGTGCAAAAGTGTCCAGCTGCCTCTTTGAGTTGGGTAGACCCTACCGATGAGCATTGCCAAGCAGCAACTCCTCCTCTCCTTTTAAAACAGGTAAAAGGTGTTTGTCCATACCCTTATAGTCATTGTTTAAAATGGGACTTAATTTCCTGATTCACTAAAATGATTTTGAAAATTTTATTTCAGATCTTTATGCAAAAGTCTTCTGATATGAAACCTATATTTTGTTAAATGTTTAGAAAACATATTCTAATATGCTTAGATTAATAACATTATTCCCAACAGTACTATTGAAGCTATAAAATGTAAAATTGAAGTATAAATAATCTTTTGATATGCTGCTGTTGAATCCCTGCCCTATAAATCTTTGCTCTGTGTTTTTTCTTCAGAACTGAACTTGGACAGTAGTAACTTCCCTGGAGTAAAGCTAAGGCCAAAGATGTCCATGCGTTCTTTTGGAAGCCGGGAAGGGTCTGTTTCAAGCCGTTCAGGAGAGTGCAGTCCTGTTCCCATGGGGTCATTTCCAAGAAGAGGCTTTATGAATGGAAGCAGAGAGAGCACTGGTTATTTAGAAGAACTAGAGAAAGAGAGGTAACCTTTCTTTTCTGTGTATGTATTAAGCATCAACTTTTAAATCTGAAAATGCTATTTTTCTGACATATTTGAAACTTTAAAATATTCAGCCATAATTGTATTTGGTTTGGATAGTAATATGCTCTATGTTTAGGAGTCTACTCAATTCACGATTTCACAGATTTTGCAGAAACCATAAAATCTGGGATTATCCATGAAATCAATTTAAAAAAATTAAGAAAAACAAAATGCTAACTTCTCAGTGGGAGCTAGCAGTCCTCACCGCTGTGGCCTGGCCTTGCAGCCCCCCTCGAGAGGGAAGGTGCTGGCTGGCACAGCCCACATAGGCCAACAGACAAGATGGTGGCTGCCCCCTCATTCCTCCTTCCTCCTCTC